GGGGCATCTACAACTTCCTTGGGCAACCTGTTCCAGTGTCTGACCACCCTCACAGTGAAGAACTTCTTCCTAATATCTCATCTAAATCTCCCCTCTTTCAGCTTAAACCCATTTCCCCTTGTTTTGTCATTAACTGCCCTTATGAAAAGTCCTTCCCCAGCTTTCTTGTAGCCCCTTCAGGTACTGGGAGGCCACTAGAAGGTCTCCCCGGAGCCTTCTCTTCTCCAGGCTGAACAGCCCCAACTCTCTCAGCCTGTCCTCACAGCAGAGCTGCTCCAGCCCTCGCATCATCCTGGTGGCCCTTCTCTGGACTTGCTCCTTTTCCCGCAGGAATAGTCTTATTTTTTATTATTATTCAGCAAAATCTAAGCTAAGCCAAGTGACAATCTCGCTGCTCCTGGGCTCCCGGCCCTGCCCCAGTGTGGCTGCGTTGAAAAAATAATGATTTGAAGCTTTTTCACCCACTTTAAGGCCATTGTGGGCACGTGTCCCAGCAGGTTGGGCATTTGGCAGAGGGAACTAAGGTCCTGTGGTGATGGGAACTGGGGTGGCTGAGCTGCCCGTGGAGTCCTGAGCCAACCCGCAGCCCCCCGGCACTCGTGGCTCAGGACCACCAACACGACAATATGTCCTCAGTGGGGCTGAGCTGGGTGGAGATGCCCCATCCATGGGTGATGGGGTTCATCTCCCCTGTGTCCCCCAGTTTCTTCGCTCTGTTCTCAGCAGCCACCGCTGCTGTGGTTGGATATTCTGCTCTTCTTCACACCTTGACCGCCACGGGGTTGGTGTGGCTGGGGGATGCTGAGGCACCAGCTAAGGTGGGTTAAAGAGATCGATGGTTTTTGGGTCATCATATTGTTGGGGTCACCCCCCAAATTGAGATATCAAACTGGAATTCAGCTTCATGCTGAAACCTGGTGTGAAACCCAAGATGTCCTGGTCCACAGTGTGGGACATCCCACCCTTACCAAGACATCCCATCCCTGCCGGGACATCCCACCCTTACCAGGACCTCACCACGAACCAGCTCCAAACCAAGAGCCTTGTCTGACCACACAGTGCTGAGGGTTTTGCCCCCAGGTTGGGTGGAGACGAAGAGTGGAGAGTTGGAGAGCTGAAGGGTGGTCTCCAACTCCTTCTGGACACCTCAGTCTCACTTCTCATGGAGCTGAAGCTCAACCTCGTGGGACCCTGGAGGTTTCCCCCCCAATTCCTGCTCCAAAATGATCCTGCTTGCTCTTCTGCACCCAGTGCTCCATGACCAGCCAGGCTTGTGGTGGTGAGGGATGAGCAGACCAAGTGTGGCTGTGCCAGTGGTCCAGGGCTCCATCTGTGCCTGCAAAGGGATCCCTGGGTGGGAGCTGCAGAGATGTCCTAGCTGATGCAACACTAAGTGAGAAGCTTTTGCTCAGGGCCAGGGGACACGAGGAGCATCTCTCAGGTGCTTTGGGCAGCGACTGATTTGAGATCCAAATGGACAGTTTCACCTTATTTGGTTCCTTTGAAAGAGAAATTGGTTTTGGCCACCTCGTCATCTTTGCCTTCGTAACGGAGGAGGCTGCAATTTCCACGGGCTCCGGAGAAAGGTAGGGCTGGTAAGGAGAGGTAATGACCTTCATTAGGCTAAATTGATGCAACTGGAAAAACCAGAGACGCAACCCAGGCTCTCCATCCAGCCCACCAGCCCCAGGTGCACCCGGGTGCTCATCTGCTTCCTCCAGCTGCATCAATTTGTCCACTAAATGCTATTACTGCTCCCTCCAAGCCTCCTCCTCAGTCTCTTCAACCTCCTGGTCACAGCCACAGCAGTGGGAAGGTGAGAGGAAGGAGAAATTGTGGTTCCCAGATGCTGCTTGCAGCTGGTGTGGGGCTGGTGGGGGGATCGAGGGAGCAGAAGGCTGGAAGGACCCATTGGTCATCATTTAGACAATGTGGTCTAGAGGTCTCTGGCCAGTGGCTCCTGCAGGATGAGCTGCCTTGGAGCTCAGCTGCTTCTTTAGAGGGATGGTTGCTCCATCTAGATGTGTGCTGAGCATGAAATCCCAAAACTTCTGTCTCTTATGGGCTGTGGGTCCTTTCTCAGCACAGAGAGCACTTGTCCTTCCCCTGCCTGGGGAATTAGGAAATGAGGGTGATGTTTTTCCCAACTTCTACTAAAAAAAAATATAAATATATATATAATCCTGTCCATTTTGGCTTTGAGAAAGGAAATCTGGGCAGTGTTCTTGCTCCTCCTTCCCCCAAGGGGCAGGGGAGGGGGAGCTGGCGCAGTACCACCCGTTAGTCCATCCTGTTAGTCCATCCTGATGGCTTTAGCACTGTGAGAACCTCCTCACGTCCCCACCAATTGCTCCCTTAACCAGCTCCTTCTCAGGTTCCTTCTCAGGTTTAGAGTCTTTGGATAATGAGTGGTTCCTCAACACCCTGATGGATTCTGGGGAATTTGGCTTCACACATGGACACGGGGTGAGCTTGGGACTTGCCCTGCTCCATCCCCCCACCCGTCCCCTGGCCGTATCCGTGTTCCCAGCATCACCCCCATGTCCAGGGCTGCCCTGGCTGCAGTCACAGGTCTCTAAATAACACAATTGTGACCTTAACACAGAAAGTTTTTCCTGTTTGTTTGCATTGTCCCCTCCCTGGAAGTGTTCTCGGCCAGGTTGGATGAGGCTTTGAGCAACCTGGTCTAGTGGAAGGTGTCCCTGCTGATGGCAGGGGGTTGGGACTGGATGAGCTTTAAGGTCCCTTCCAACCCAAACCAGTCTGGGATTCCATGAAAGTTGTTCTCTGGAGCCACTCCTGATTTGAAGGACTCCAGTAATTTTTTTACTAGGATCTGGAGATCTTTGACACCACTCTCTGAAGCAACGTTGTTTTCTCTTCCCATCTCTGGCTGTTTTTTGGACACAGCTCAGAGGGGGATGGAGTGAGGTCCCATGACGTGCCGTCACCATCCAGCATGGTCCCCTTCTGCCATGGAAGCATTTCCCCTCTCACCATGTGCTGTGGTGCCACCTTGGCCCATGCAGGAGGGGACACACATGGTCATTGCAGTCCTGGTGTCCCAGGATGATGGGGCTTTGCCCACAGTTGCATGTTGGAGAGCGACAGCCCTTGTTAGGTGTATGGAGCTGCCAGCTCTCCCCGGCCACAGTGGGATCAGCAGCAGAGCAGCTCTGCCCAGGTTGCCTCTTGACTTAGTCTTCTCCCTACGTTGCTTGGTGAGTCCTGATTCCCCCATCTTGGGTTCTCCAGGATGGAAAAAGTCTTTGCAGTCACTTGCTGTCAGTCTGAACAAAACCCAGCGGTGTTATCGAGCAGCACCCGGGTCACCGCTCTGCTAGAGCTCCGTGGTGGTGACTTGGGTCACTTCCGAGCGCAGGTCGTCCCCTCCGCGGCCCTGGCAGCCTCGCTGGAGGCTGCCCACGTCTAGTCATGCCGGCTTGTTGTGGGCTTCAGAAGGGGTGCAGGTGGAGACGTGCTCCCGCGTGGTGTTTCTGGCGCGGGAGAAGCTGTTCTGGTCCACGCGGGCTCGGAAGGGCAGGCAGAACTCCCGGAAACACCTCTTGAAATTCTCATCCAGGAAAGCGTAAAGGACGGGGTTGAGGCTGCTGTTGGTGTAACCCAGGGCGATGCAGAAATGCAAGCTGGCCACCACGTAGGGATTCTTCTTATCTATGTCCACCAGCGTCCAGACGATGACAAAGATGTGGATGGGCGTCCAGCAGATGATGAAAGCTGCCACCACCACCAGCACCATGCGTGTGATGCGCCGCAAGTTGCGGTCTTTCTCCTTGGAGCCTGAGAGGAGGCGGACGCTCTTCAGGCGAAGGATCATCAACCCATAACAGATGGTGATGACCAAGATGGGCACCATGAAGGCAAAGATGAAGACACAGATCTTGGTCACGGTGTCCCAATAGATGGGAGGATCAGGAAACTGGAGTGTGCAGAGCACCATCCCATCTGTGGGAGAGAAGATGATCAAAGAGGGAGTGGGTGGAGTGTTTGTTATGAACACGACCTTCTTGGCCATGGCTGGGCATGTCCATGCCTGTTAAAAACACAAGGAGATGCACACCCACCTGCCAGCTCTTTGCAGAGATTCCCTGAGAGCTTTGTGCCACCAACCCCCACCCTTGGGCTGTGGATAGGATGTGGTGGGTGCAGTGACTCTGCAGAGCCTGCTGGGCCATCCCTATGCTGTCTCCTCCCAACCTCCATGGTGGACACGTGCCTGTGTCACCTTCCACTGAAACCTGTCCACTTCCTCAAGATGCCCAGAGCTTTCCTAGCAGCCAAGGGCTGGTGTCCTCACAGAGGAACTGCAGATCTCAGTGTGGGCCAGTTGGGGACTTTGCAAAACCATTGGGAATGTTTTTAGGCACCTGATTTGCACCCCAGGAGCTGGGCAGCGGCAGTGGTTGGACTGGAGATGGGGAAGGGGGAGGACAATTTCTGGGACAAGATGGATAATAACACCATGATGATCTTTCCATGGCAGGGCATGCTGACAGTCCCATGGAGGGGTGGTCATCACTGAGCTCAAACCTGCTATAGGACCAGGTAACTTGGGCTTGCTAGGTCACCCCCAGAATGGACAGATGGGACAGGAGGGGACCTTCCCCCAGATCCCACTTGCCTTTTGACTTGGTGACCGCCATGGCCATGATGGGCACCCCAATGAGGGAGGAGAGCACCCAGATGCAGACATTGATGATCTTGGCCTTGGCTGGTGTGCGGAAGTCCAGGGCCTTAACCGGGTGGCACACGGCGACGTAGCGGTCCACGCTCATCATGGTGAGGGTGAAGATACTGGTGAACATGTTGTAGTAGTCAATGGAGAGCACGATTTTGCAGAGCAGCTCCCCAAAGGGCCAGGTCTCCATCAGGTACTTGGCACTTTGGAAGGGCAGCGTGCTGGTGGCCAGTGCATCTGCCAGGGCCAGGTTGAAGATGTAGATGTTGGTGGCTGTCTTCATCTTGGTGTACCTGGGGGTGGCAGAGAAGGGAGACACTACAGGTGGTCAGGGCTGGCTTACCATGCCCAAGTACGTTTGTGCATGCTCAACATGATGAGGAGAGGGTGCTTGCAAGGTGCCACCACCCTTGGTGGGCAAAGGTACATGCTTGTGGCGTGCCCTTCTGCAGCACCGATGTTCTCAGCACCTTGAGAACTGGGGTCTAGGTGGACCAGCGAGCACGTTGAGAAAGTACTGGTGTCCATGCATGGTTTTAGGGTGTGTTGGAAGTCCCAGTCCCTGAGCACGGGGTTGCACTTACACGTGGAACCTTACCCAGCACCTGAAGAACATGACTTAGACCCTGCTGGAGCAGTTATCCCTCCCCTGACCAGGGAGGTGACCCTCATTCACATGACTGTCTTTATTCAAAGGAAATCTGAAGAAATTTTCAGAGAAGTCACTTCTCCAATGAAATCGATTTCCTCCATTTCCCCAAATCAGTGGCACAATGTCCTTTATCTCCCAAAATCTCTTTTATCTGATTTTCCACCCAGTAAATCACCATTATCTAGCTTGCTTCCCTGGTGAGTTTCCTTGCTGAAATTGGATCGATTACCCCCGGAAACAGGCCATCTGGAAGCAGCCCAATTAGCTGGGCTGGAGCTCCAGAGCCTTTGGAGAAGCCTGGCTGCCTTGGCCACAGCACGTGGCTCAGGGGCACGATGCCACTTCCCCCAGGGCATTCAGCAAGGGCTGGCATGCCAGCTCTGGTCCTTGTCATGTCATGGTAAGAGAAATGTCCAGTCCTGAGTGTTGAAAACCTTCTTGAAGGGATGAGGCATCATTTTGGTGGGCACCATGGCTGGTGGGATTAGATGTGTGTGTGTCATAGAATCATAGAACCACAGACTGGTTTGGGTTGAAGGGACCTTTCAAGTCATCCAGTCCAACCCCCTGCAGTGAGCAGGGACATCTTCAACCAGATCAGGTTGCTCAGAGCCCTGTCCAACCTGACCTTGAATGTTTCCAGGGATGGGGCTTCTACCACCTCTCTGGGCAACCTGGGCCAGTGTCTCACCACCCTCAGCATAAAAAAAATCTCTTCTTTTTATCCAGTCTGAATCTCCCTCTTTGAGTTTAAAACCATCACCCCTTGTCCTGTCACTGCAGGCCCGGATAAAAAGTCTGACCCCATCTTTCTTATGGCCACTTCAAGTACTGGAAGGTCTCCCCAAAGCCTTCTCTTCTCCAGACTAAGCAACCTCAATTCTCTCAGCCTGTCCTCATAGCAGAGATGTTCCATCCCTCTGATCATCCTCTTGGCTTCCTCTGGACCTGCTCCAACAGGTCCATGTCTTTTTTGTGCTGAGGAGCCCAGAGCTGGACACAGTGTTCCAAAGAGTCTCACCAGAGAAGAGCAGAGGGGCAGAATCCCCTCCCTCAACCTGCTGGCCACACTTCTGGTGACACAGTCCAGGACATTGCTGACCTTCTGGGCCACAAGCACATGCTGCTGGCTCACGTGTCCTTGGAGCACCCAGCCCTGCAGGCCTTGCTCATGGTGATGCTCTGAAGGGCGTGGTTGGTTTGAAATGGATGCACATCCCTGTGTCCAAGGGGGCTGTCAGGGGTCTCCCAAGGCCAATGCATTGGGGTTGGGTTGGGATGGGGGATCTGCAGCAGCCCCTGGGTTGTTTGCCAGGTCAGGACTTACACCAGTAGCTCAAACCATTCCCTTGTGCTCCCTTCCAGCAAGTTCTCATTGCTCAGAGCGTCCTTCACAGCCCCGAGCTCACTTAGATGCACCCTCATTAATTAACAAAAATGTCAGTTTGAACACCAGCATCTCCATGCTTGGCTAATCCTGCCTGAACCCCGAGCTGGGGTTGGGTCCTAGACAAACCATAGAATCATTAAGGTTGGAAAAGACTTCCAAGATCATCAAGTCAAAAGGCTTCAAGACAAAGAAGGGCTGAATTTGGCCCTGGGGCATGAGGGGAGACAACTCCTTGATTGCCAGATGAAAAGATGTTGGCACAGCTCATAGAATAACCTCATGGGGTACATGGAATAAATTGGGGTGAGGGGATTGAGTAGCTCCCATCTCAGGTGGTTGTTGTTCTGCTGCCCCAACTGAAGACCAGAAGAGTGAGCTGGTGTAGGAAAAAGGTTCCTGGTCTTGATGACAATAACAATTCCCTTCACTTTATCCTTTTCTCCATCTCAGTGGGGTCAGGAGAGCGTGCCAGGAGGGGCAGAGACCCACCAGGTTAAGTTGTTGGTAAAGCCAGGAGATGGAGGCTGCAAAACCTATTTCTCTCTGGAAGAAAATACCATCTCGGACCAGCACCCACCTGCAACAGCAATTCCTTCTCCTTCACCTTGGCTGCAAATGGCAGCTCTTTCCCCAAGGATGGAAATAATTGAGTTGAAAGTTTTTATTATTGTAAATATGGCATTAAAAATGTTGGGGTTTTGGGTTTTTAGTTTTGGGGTTTTTTTTTTCCCCTTGGAAAGCCCTTTTCAGTTCTCTCCAGTGTTATTTTCCAAGCTCTTTTGTGAAGGCATCTCTTAGAAAAGTTTCATTCCAGGTTAAACAAAAAAAACTGAGAATTGGTGTTATTGTCAGGTGTTGCCTCACCTAGATTAAAAAAAATAGTTGTTTCAGGTAGAATCACGCTTCTTTGATCTCTGCTTTTTGAGTAAAGTGGGGAAAAAAATCAGTTATTCACACAAAGCAGCCATGGGGATGATGGAGATGACTGGGATGGATGATGGAGATGACTGGGATGGATGATGGGGATGATGGAGATGATTGGAATGGATGATGGGGATTATGGAGATGATTGGAATGGATGATGGGGATGATGGAGATGATTGGAATGACTGGGATGGATGATGGGGATGACTGGGATGGATGATGCAGATGACTGGGATGATGGGGATGACTGGGACGGATGATGGGGATGACTGGGATAGATGATGGAGATGACTGGGATGATGGGGAAGGATGATGGGGATGATGGAGATGACTGGGATGATGGGGATGACTGGGATGATGGAGATGACTTAATTTATCCCCCAGAGCTGGAGATTTGGGGCAGGATTTGGTCCATTCCAGGACTGGACTGAGGATCAAACCCACTGCGTGGGGTAGAGGGATCCATCATGGTGACCCCCACAGAGCTGCAAACAAAGCTGCTCCTCCAGGGAAGAACTTTATCCCCAGCAGCAGAGCGAACCAGACGCTTCTGCTGATGGAGCTCCCTGAGCTGTCAAACCCATTGCAATTAAGAGAGAGCCTTGATTGGGAAGTTACACACTTGAACGAAACAATCTGGAAGGTGTTGATGGAGAGATGAGGCTCGAGGGGATGGACTGAAGCTCTGTGTTCCAGCAGCAATGCCGGCGTCTGGATTTCCAGGTAGGGACCCTTCAGCTCTCCAAACTTCTCAGAAAATAAGTGAAAGAATTTGCAAAACTCCTGGAGCTGCTAAAAGCCACCACCTTGGGATTAAAGAGCCTGGCTTAACAAATCCAGCACCCAGCGATGGGATGTCCTGTGCTGGAGCTGGCAGGGGGCTGATGGGCTCTGTGGGGATGTGGTCTGTCCAACCAAGGAACAAGGGACACGACAAGAGGGAATGGCCTCCAGTTGTGGCCAGGGCAGTTGAGATGGGATGTGAGGAAGAATTTCTTTGCTGAAAGGGTTCTGAGGCATTGGAAGGGGTTGCCCAGGGCAGTGGTGGAGTCCCCAGCCCTGGAGGGATTGAAGAGTCGTGTAGACACAGTGCTGAGGGACATGGGTCAGTGGGGGACTGGTCAGTATTGGGTTCATGATGGGACTTGATGATCTTAAAGGGCTTTTCCAATCTCAGCAATTCTGGGATTCTGTGTCCTCAGGACCACAAAGCAAATGCCTCAGCTGGAAAAGACCTGACTAGTCCCAACCTAAACCCTGCTGATGTGGAACAACGAATCCCTGGGAAACTCCAGCTGGGCTTGGCCATGCAGGTGGCCATGTGCTGGGCTCCGTGCACATCCCCTGTCCCAGGGGCTCAGGGAACAGCATTTATTCATTCCCTGGGAGATTTGGATTTTTTTTTAATTCCAGCATCAGCTGGTGGATCAGAAAATGAGGGGGCTTGAAACCAGGGTGATGGGCACCGTCACTGCTGTAGAGCCAGACTTTCTAAAGCGTGGGTAACATCAGGTAATTTAGGGTGTTAAATAGGGAGAATGATGTTTGCACATTAAAATCTTCTCTTTAAAATGCCTTCCCTCTCAGAGAAGAACCAGCTGGAGGGGTCTAATAACACCCATCCTTCACCGTGACACCCTACGTGGCGGATGGCTCCACAATTACCTTCATCTGCTTTTTCAGTCTAGGGTTGATTTTTTTAAAGCTGTTTGGAATCAATGACAAATCCCATCAGGTGTTGGGAAGGGTCAGTGAGTGACACCCCCGTCCTGTTACCCGTCTGCTCACTCAGGGGGTTAAAGATACACAGCAAAGCTACCCAAAAAGCAGGGAGCCAGACACAAGGGTGATGGGCAGCCCGGCACGTTTCAGGCTGGTTTCCTTCCCCTCCCCTTCTCACCCCCCCAGTGAGTCACCACATTTATTTCTTGCGCAGGCAACACCAGGCCGTGCTGAGCTCCTGTAATGATCCCTACAGACTGCGGGGCGGGGGG